CAGGTGCAGACATATCACTTATTAAAGAAAATTCTGACGTCTTTCACGACATCAAATCAGATAATATTATAAACATTCAAGGCATTAGCCAGGAAGTTACTAAATCAGTAGATCAAATTTCCATTGAGATCCAAACTGATAAATATATAATTCCACACAATTTTCATATTGTAAGTTTACAATTCGCTATTCCCTGTTATGGAATACTAGGAATCGATTTTATCAAAAAATATAACTGTCAATTAGACTTCAAGCCATCAGAAGATTGGCTTATAATTAGACCTAATAACCTTAGATTCCCGATTTATGTTCCAATAACATACAGTTCTGGCAATAACTCCATGATTCTCCCAGCAAGATCCGAAAAAGTCTCTTCCAGGCTCAGACAAGAAGAAATGGCGATTAGTTATTGACTATCGTTAAATTAATAAAAAACTGTTGTCCGATAAATTTCCGCTCCCTAGAATTGATGACATTCTAGATCAACTAGGTAGAGGAAAAATTTTTCATGTCTCGACTTAATGTCAGGTTTTCATCAAATTGAACTTGAAAAAGTTCTTTTTCAACAAGCAATGGTTCGTATCGCTTCACGCGATTACCATTCGGTTTAAAGATAGCGCCAAATTCTTTTCAGAGAATGATGACTATAGCATTCTCTGGACTAGATACTTCCCAAGCATTCCTTTATATGGATGATCTTATAGTCATTGGTTGTTCTGAAAAACATATGCTTAAAAATTTAACAGATGTTTTCGAGAATTGCAGAAAGTACAACCTGAAATTACATCTTGAAAAATGCTCATTTTTCATGCATGAAGTCACTTTTCTGGGACATAAATGCACTGATAAAGGAATCTTGCCTGACGACAAAAAATACGACGTCATAAAAAATTATCCAGTCCCACATGATGCGGACAGCGCTAGAAGATTCATTGCATTTTGCAATTATTACAGACGTTTTATTAAAAACTTTGCCGATTATGCACGTCACATAACTAAGTTATGCAAAAAGGATGTAAAATTTGAATGGACAGCTGATTGCCAGTATGCATTCGAACACCTTAAATCGGCTTTAATAGAACCAACTTTGTTACAATACCCAGATTTCAGCAAAGAATTTTGCATAATAACAGATGCTAGTAAGCAAGCGTGTGGAGCAGTTTTAACTCAAAACAAAAATGGACTCCAGCTTCCAGTTGCATATACATCAAGATCATTTACCAAAGGTCAAAGTAACAAAAGTACAACAGAACAAGAGCTTGCAGCAATTCATTGGGCAATAACACACTTCAGACCATATGTTTATGGTAGACACTTCACTGTCAAGACAGATCACAGACCACTTACATACTTATTTTCCATGGTAAATCCCAGTTCAAAATTAACTCGAATAAGACTTGAATTCGAAGAATATAATTTCACAGTAGAGTATTTAAAGGGTATAGACAATCATGTAGCCGATGCGTTATCAAGAATAACCATCGAGGAACTGCAAAATATCACCAAGAATGTAAAAAAAGTCACTAGAAGATTACAAAGTAGACAGAAATCCTGCGCAGGAGATAAAAAAATAGAGTTCCCTAGGCAACCTATAGAAAAAGCTTCAAAGCCCAACGTATTCGAAGTCATTCATAATGACGAGGTACGAAAAGTAGTGACCTTGCACGTGAAAAACACGATATGTCTTTTTGAACATGGAAAAAAAATTAATGCAAGATATGATGTTAGCGATTTATATACCAATGGAGTCCTTGACCTAGGTCAGTTTTTCCAAAGGCTTGAAACGCAAGCCGGTATACATAAAATTAGCCAACTCAAAGTGGCACCGTGGGAAAATATCTTTGAACACGTTTCATTAGATAATTTCAAGAAAATGGGCAATAAAACATTAAAATCATTAAGAGTCCATATGATAATTTAAATGTCAACTTAAAAAAATCCGTTTGCTCATCTATATGAAATGTATTCAAGATTAAAATATAGTTACTACAATCGTGAGTCACAACCATTTTTAACAACATCGGGATTTAAAATGAAAGCTCCAATAATCGTAATTGATCAATCATATAAAAATGAAACCAAACTTGAATAATAGTTTTATTATAGAACCACCATATGATTTCAGTTTATTAAATACAAAATCTAAAACCACTGCAAACTGGTTATCAAAAAAGGATCATAAAATTTGTTGGAACGATGGAGGCGAAAGTTTTGCGCAAACGGGACGATATCTTGGCAATAACTATTGGAAAACAAATTATCTGCAAGGGAATGGTAAAGAAACGTTTTCTACAATCATTTTTTGGAAACCACCATTTGATTGATGTCGAGGACATACAGTGTCCGTCATTAAACCGGTTTAGAGGAAACAGATTTCCCTATTGTAAAAATCATGTCAAAGGTGGTGTGTGTGGTTTAAACAATGCATACAACATTCTACATTTTTTAAAAGTACTTCAAAATAAATAAAACATACATATTTGCATTCACTTCATTTTGAAGTTGAGACCACTTGTGACAAGACCTGTTTCAAAAAAACATATTTCGATAAATAATCAAATTTCTTGAAGAAAATGATCATTTTTTTCAACAATTCAATGGGAAGTATAGACGGTCAAAACATTGTTGTCGATAGTTAAGTCAGTATTAATAGGAAATGTAGTATTTTTTAAGTTATCCGATTTTTGGCCCATTGAAGTACGGGCTTATTAATCGCGGTTATGTGAATGCCGCCGAAAAGTGCCTTTTCACTGTCTTGTGAATAGTAGGAGGGCACACTGGGTAAGAAGAAGAGCTATATTTGAATTGAAAACTAATTTAATGAATTTACAGAATAAAACGTTCCGTACGCCATAGCCATATGCCTTTAAAGTTCACCTTTCTTTGGATCTACGCGTGGGGGGAGCCGTTTAAGGCAACTCCGCACTTCACAAGACGACATCTTTTATTCGCAGTCCTAGGGAGACTGCAAGAGGCACTTGCGCTGGAGGACGGCTTGACGACCAGCTAGAGAGTTGCCAGGAGCGCACGGAGCGCATTTGCCGTACCAGCAGAGAAGTCGTAGCCAGCGACATAGACGGCGCAAGGAGCGCCAAACACTGAGTACGGATGGAGTCGCAGCCAGCGACACGGAGACGCAGCCGGCGTCAGTTCAGGAGACGCAGCCAGCGTCAGGTTAGGAGGCGCAAGGAGCGCCGAGCATCAGCGGCAGCAGCCAGACGGCACAGGTCCGCCATTTTGGAGCGCTAGGGCACCGCCACATTTGGACCATATCTATTTCGAGATGCAGCGTTCGCCCAGGAGGAGTTCCCGGCTGAACGGAGGGGAAGCCACCCCTACAACAACGCAGCAGCCAGCGAGTAGTGCAGCAGAAAACCGGCCAGGGGTTAACATAACCATGGCGGCGGCCATTTCTCGCCCAGCCACTACAGCGACTACAGTAGCGTCCCAACCAAGGAGTACTGTAACAGCAGCTGCGAGCTCAGAGCCGGAGGTGGGCCAGCCACCCACGGCGTACCTTTTGGATAATATCACGGCGTTGGAGAATTAGCTGAAGCAGGTTAGAGCCATGAACACAACGAGCACCGCCAATTGCGCGCCAATCGCAGTTGGCCCAAGCGCATATGGGGCCAACAGTGGAGCGTCGGAGCGGCCGCCATCGTGGAGCGGACCGCCATTAGCCGCCATATTAACCGCCACATCGAACGGTGAGGCCCAAACTAACGGGGTCGGGCCGGTCCCAAATAGCAGTTTCGGTGCGACCAGTGGGACCTACACGCTGCCGCCATCTTGGAATGGACCACCGTTACTAACGACTAGCAACCCACTGTGTGCTACAAGTGCTGCGCAGACAGCGCATGAATTAGTGCTACCGGGCGGGAGCATCCACAACGTGGCAACTGCATCGCCATTCGTGGGATCCTACGCCTCGATGACACCGATTGGAACCCAAGGAGTGAATGGGCCAAGGAGGCTCCCGGACTTGCCTATATTTGGAGGCCAGCCCGAGGATTGGCCCATCTTTAATTGTGCATTTGTGGAGACGACCCAAGCGTGCAACTGCACGGACCTGGAGAACAACCAGAGACTGTTGAAGGCGCTGAAAGATGAAGCACGCGAGACAGTGAAGTCGCTGCTGATTCACCCTGCGAACGTCAGAGACGTGATGGAGCAGTTGCGCTTTAGGTTTGGCCGACCGGCGTGGAGTATCATCGAGTGCCAAAAAGCATCCTAAATGGAGAGCGAGTCCCAACAAAGAGGGAGTTTTTGAGCCTGCTGATGTCAACCTTCTACCCATTGGGGTTCCTGTGCTGCCTGATGATTACAGCGAAGCTGTTGCTGCGGGAGATCTGGAGGCAGAAGATCCCGTGGGACGAACCGCTGCCGGAGGAGATAGGCAGAGCCTTTGCTGCCTGGCGCAGAGAGATGGACGCCGTGGGACAGTTCCGATGTCCTCGCCACTATTTCGGGCGTGGAGCAGTTTGGACCATCGAGCTACACGTTTTCGTGGACGCAAGTCAATCTGCATTCGCGGCGGTGGCCTATTGGAGGGTCACGTACAAGAATGGCAACGTGCTGGTTAGCTTCGTGTGCGCAAAGACGAAGTGTGCGCCGATGAGAACGATGTCCATCCCACGGCTGGAGCTGCAGGCAGCGGTCCTTGGAGCCAGAGTGATGAACACTGTCAAGGAAGAACACAGTGTGGACATCAGCGAGACGGTTTTATGGACGGATTAAAAAACGGTGCTGAAATGGATCGGCAACAACCACCGCCGGTATAAGCAGTTTGTTGGCAACCGAGTGGTGAAGATTTTGGAGTCGTCGAAGGTTTCCCAGTGGAGATGGCAGCGGATGATGCGACGCGGTCGCAGAGCAAGGCGGACCTTAGCCCGGAATCCCGGTGGCTAAGCGGTCCCGAATTTTTGAGGCAGCCAGCAAGCGGCTAGCCAACGCCTGAGGAGGGAACCGAGCATGTTCCAGATGCACCTGATGAAGAGGAGATGCCCGGTGAGTTCGCATTGGTAGCATCAAATGAATTTGTCATCCTGTTCCAGAGATTCTCGAGCTTCAGTCGCCTGGTGAGGACCACCGCCTGGGTCCTGAGGTTTGCGCGACGGTGCCGCAAACAGAGAAGCGAGCTCGAGGAATATGGACTCACTCCAACGGAGTGTGAGGCCGCGGAGAACCTGTTAATCAGGCAGGCCCAATTGGAGTCGTTTCCCGACGAGATGGGGTCGGCGGAACGCGGAAAGGACGTCGCCAACTCGAGCGAGATTCGAAGTCTGGCGCCTTACGTGGACAAATATGGAGTTCTGCGAGTTTATGGCAGAGTCGATGCCGCGCTGTCCATGCCGTACAGTGCGAGGAGGATACTGTCACACAGGCACAGTCTTACGGAGATGGTAGTAAGACACTACCACGCCCAGATGAAGCATCAAAACGTGGATGCGACGATTGCCCAGATCCAGACGAGATTGTGGGTCACGAAGATAAGACGAGTGCTGAAGGAGGTAATCTTGTCGTGCAACGAATGCAAGCTACAACGGACGCGGTCGATGCCGCCGCTAATGGGACCCCTTCCAGAGTATCGCTTGGAAGCTGGAGGATGGCCATTCAAGTACACTACTACTTTGGGCCACTGCTGGTGACTGTTGATCGTCACAGAGAGAAGCGTTGGGTCACTTTGTTCACATGCTTGACGACAAGGGCGATTCATCTGGAGCTGGCGCATGACCTGTCAACGGATTCCTGTATAATAGCGATCAGGAACTTCGTCTGCCGTAGAGGACCAGTACGTAAACTGCTGAGTGACAACGGCAAGAACTTCGTGGGAGCTGACAGGGAGGCCAGGCGATTTGGAGACGTTTTCGAGACGGAAAGGATACAGAGTGAGTTATCCAGCAGGAGCATTGAATGGGTCTTTAATTGCCCATCCAACCCGTCTGAGGGCGGAGTATGGGAGCGAATGGTGCAGTGCGTCAAGCGAGTGCTGCGCCATACCCTGAAGGAAGTCGCGCCGAGGGACCATGTTATGGAGAGTCTCCTAATAGAGGCGGAAAACATAGTCAATTCGCGTCCGGTCACCCACTTGCCACTGGATGCGGACCAAGAGGCGCCGTTGACGCCAAACGACCTGCTCAAGGCAGCTAACCAGCCGGATACGCCCGGATGGGATGTGGAGCTGCCCAAGGAGGGTTCTACGCAAAAGCAGTGGAGGATTGCCCGCATGCTGCGGGACCGCTTCTAGAGGAGGTGGGTCATGGAGTACCTGCCTACGCTTGTGCGCCGCGAGAAGTGGTGCCGGAGATCGGAGCCCATCCGCCAGGGCGATATGGTCTTCGTCTGCGATCCTGCCTTGCCCAGACGAGAGTGGCGCAAGGGCATCGTAGAGGAGGTATACAGCGGAGCTGATGGAGTCGTCAGACGCCCCACTGTGCGCGTAAATGATAATGGACTATCTTGTACAATGTTGCGGCCCGTCTCTAAACTTGCATTTTTAGATTTGAGTGAAGCGGGTCTTCACGGGGTCGGGGATGTCGACGGTCAAAACATTGTTATCGATAGTTAAGTCAGTATTCATAGGAAATTTAGTATTTTTTAAGTTATTTTAGATTTTTGGCCCATTAAAGTACGGGCTTATTAATAGCGGTTATGTGAATGCCGCCGAAAAGTGCCTTTTCACTGTCCTGTGAATAGTAGGAGGGCACACTGGATAAGAAGAAGAGCTATATTTGAATTGTAAACTAATTTAATGAATTTACAGAATAAAACGTTCCGTACGCCATAGCCATAGGCCTTTGAAGTTCACCTTTCTTTGGACCTACGCGGGGGAGAGCCGTTTAAGGCAACTCCGCACTTCACAAAACGACAGGAAGATATTTGAAAATCATTTCCAATACCTTGTTAAAACCAAAATTATGTTCATGAATCAAGGTGCACAAGATCTAAAAACAATAAAATATGGTTAACTCTTTACATGCCTCTTTTAAGTCAATCGAAGGAATGTAGCTAGAAAAATAACTTCATTGTATCAATAATTAATAAAGAAACGTATTATGTGAAATGAAAAATAAACTTGTTTTCTTACTTTTTATGAGTAAGGGAAGGGAAATACATATATATATACTCACTTGCACACGTACACATATACACTCATCTACTATGATGTACACTACCCTTTGTGACCTTTTATTAGGGGTGAAATTACTTAGCGCTGGGAAACAATGACTTCACACAAATCCTCAACCTCTTGTATCCTTTTTATCTATGTGTTTGAATAGAGAGAGAAATACTAAAACACACATTTTATTACGGTGCGAGCATGGATCTTCCTCATCGGTTCCACATGTCATATTTCCACACACACCTGGGGTTCCCACTCAACTTTTTATGTTATTTAGCAGTTGCTTTATGTTGTTTAGCAGTGGTTTTTTTGTTATTTAGGAGTTGTTTTTTGTTGTTTAGCAGTTGTTTTTTTTGTTTAGCAGTTGTCTTTTTATTGTTTAAAAGTTGTTTTTTTGTTGTTTAGCAGTTGTTTTTTCGTTTTTTTTTTGGTGTTCAGCTGTTGTTTTTTGTTGTTTAGCAGTTGTTTTTTGTTGTTTAGCTGTTGGTTTTTGTGGTTTAGCATTTGTTTTATGTTGTTTAGCAGTTGTTTTTGTTGTTTAGCAGTAGTTTTGGGTTGTTTAGGAGTTGTTTTTTGTTATTTAGCAGTTGTTTTTTGTTGTTTAGCAGTTGTTTTTTCGTTTTTTTTGGTCTTTAGATGTTGCTTTTTGTTGTTTAGCAGTTGTTTTTTGTTGTTTAACTGTTGGTTTTTGTTGTTTAGCATTTGTTTTTTGTTGTTTAGCAGTCGGATTTTTTTTGTTTACTTGTGCAACGTCTGTTGAATGTAAAGTCGAAACTTGGTCTGTGGATTTTGAAGTAGGCAGCCCCGATTCTTATACCACCCAGATGTCACACATACAAAAGTATATACGACACATTTGTTTCACCGTCCCTCCCCGTCCTAAGTGTAAGCCAATCAAAACGATGGGTTATTGACTCACTCCATTGACAAAGGAAAGTAGAAATGAAAGGCATAAATGACCACAGTTGTATGTATCAAAATGTTGAAATCTCTCTTAGTTGTATTGTATTTGCTTTCCCAACTACTTGAAAACTTCTATACGTGGTTGCAGATTTCCGAAACTATCAAAATATTGTATATCGTTTTTATTTTTTGTTATTTGCGACCCAATTTACTATCCCATATTCTCGAATTCTTGGAGAGCGTGGAAGTAAATCCCTCATATATACTCCTCGAAAATTTGGTATATATTTTTGAGCAAAAGTTGTAATGTCTATATTTGAAAGTGGTCTATTGGGCAGTTAACATATTAGTTCTTTGGTTTCTTAATACCATATCCCTTACTATATGGTTTGAGGTAGAATCCATAACCTGTTCTATACGGTTTGAGATATAGTCCTCCTCCTACAGAAACACTTTAAATTTTTCTATAATGTCGTATCTTCTCCTCCATATCCTCTTTCGCCATTCTAGCGTTGCTTATTGTTTTTGCAATGGCTGCACTTCCACTAGCTAAACTATTTTAGGGCACTTAGGGCAGTAAATATAGGTACGATTGGTAAAAAACCACCAGTTTTGTGTTCATTAATTCTTCTTGGCACTTTGACGTTTTTCTATGAATCCACTCATAATGTCAAATGGCTTTTGTTTTTTAATGTTCTAGTAGCAGCGTTTCCAACAGTCGACAGTTTCGTCATCTTTACTTTTTTCCTCGTCGTCTTCCCTTTACATTTCTTTTTTGTTTTTGATATTCCCATTCCATATTTCTTCTTTGCGTTCATAATGTCGGTCACCAAATATGCAGCTGCTTTTTCACTGAGTACTGTCTCGTGCTTTTACACGTGACTTAACTTTATCAATTAATATAGAATCTGCAATGTGACGTTCAAGTAAAGTAAGTAAAAAACTTTTTATGGGAATACAAATATTCTTTACAAGCCTCATCCAGTTTATTTATTCCTTGATCACCTCGTTTCAAACGTTTTTCTAACTGTGTACCCGGCTCACAAAATTTATATCCTGGTATATGGGCTTCGAACGGTAATGTATTAATTAAGTTGTTGACAAGACCACCACTTCGTTTACAATAGAAAACTTTAATGAATCGATTATAAAAACGCTTCGCCATTATATTGATGCTTAATCATCAAAGATTTCTCATCCCATGAGAAACTAAGGTCTAAAAATGCGATTAATAGGTCAAAAACAAAACATTATCGTTTGTAATATCAACGATGAAAACGAGAAAAAACCACCTGCATGACATAGTTGTCTCTTACCTAATACAATAAGAGCTCTTATTGTTGGACCTTCAAATTGTGGTAAAACCAACATTATGCTCAGTTTGATAGTGAGGATTAAAATTCGAAAATACTTACGTGTTTTCTAAGAGTTTGTATCAACCTAAATATGAGCACTTGGAAAAATTAATAAAACCTATTAGAGGAATGGGATATCATACTTTCTCTCATAACGATTGAAGCAAAAAATAATTCTATTATGACATTTGATGATGTAGCTTGCGAAAAACAAGACAACATAAGATCTTATTTTTGTATGGGTCGTCATAAGAATATTGATTCCTTTTATTTATGTCAAACATATACCCATATACCTAAACCCTTGATTCGTGATAATGCCAACTTTATTATAATGTTTAAACAAGACGATTTAAATATGCGACATATATATAGAGATTATATATATGGGGAACGACACATATGTGGAAATTTGTAAAAAATGTTGGGAGGAAAAATTAGGATTTTTGCTGATAAGTAAAGATAACGATATGGATAAGATAAGAAGATATAGAAAAGGTTTTGATCAATTTATTTTGATTTAAAAAGTTTTTTTATTTGGCATAAAAATATACTAAAAACAAAGATTTCCACAGTTTAAAATTAGATTTTATTATGTCTAGATCAGTGACCTTGTCCTTGAATGGAAATAGTTCTGTTATAAATACAAACTACTTTCCACCAATCGATTTGGATGGATCTTTTGAGTGTGCTTTAATTGATTTTAATGCGTACAATTCAATTATAAATATAGACGAAAAAAACCATATCTTCCTTATTGGAACTAATGTAATCACAATTCCCACTGAATCCTATGAACTAAATGATTATATTTATAAAAAACTTAAAGATTACGGTATTGAAAAATCTTTTAAAATTGGAAGCAATAACAATACTCTTCAAGTAGAAATAACCAGCTATCGGGAGCCGGTTTACTTTAATAAGGAAAGATCAATTGGTTTTGATAAAAGAGTTTTAGAGCCACACCCAACAAAAACATATCTATCGGAGCAGACTGTCAATATTTTAAAAATTAATACTATTCGTTTGGAATGTAACATAATTATTGGTTCATATGTGGATAATACACCTAATCATACGTTACATGAATTCGGTATTAATGTTCCTCCTGGCTATAAAATGAATGTGACACCACATAATCGTATTTACTTGCCAATCAACTGTGATGAATTAAGCACACACTGCATACGTATCGTAGATCAAAACGGAGATTTTTTTTTGCTTTGCTTTTATTTATTGAATCTACTCTTAATTTTGAGACTAAAAATAAGTTGACGAATCTTATCATTAAAATATAACTAACAGTATACTAAGACTGCATTCTGGTTGCGCGTCCCTCAGGTCGGTCGCTGGGTGGGTAGGTCATTGCGACGAAGGCGTGATTGGTTGCTCAACCTTGTAAGACCTCTCGCCAGGTGATTAGGGTGCACCGATAGCTTGGTGAAGTACTTTACCTTTTGTTCTGCGATCACTTCTTTGACTGGTTGAATGTTTAAGTCGCGGTCTATGTTTTCGTTGCGAACATACCACGGTGCCCCGGTGATTGTTCTCAGGATCTTCGACTGAACTCTCTGAACAATGTCAATGTTGCTATTGCTGGCGTTCCCCCATAACTGGGAGCCGTACATCCATATAGGTTTTAGTACCGAGTTGTACAGCATGATTTTATATTCAAGGCTAAGAGGTGACCGGGCGTTGATAAGCCAATGAAGGCTGCTGGCTTTTAGCTTTAGGTGTGTTCTTTTGGCTTCAATGTGCCGGCGCCATGTGAGTCTTCTGTCGAGATGTACTCCTAGGTAAGTTACATCGTTTGCTTGTGGGAGTAGAGTGTTGTTTAACGTAATCGGCGGGCAGTTTTGCCTGTTC